AGCACTGGGCTCAGGAGGCAAATGAGAAAAACATAAGGGAAGATGAAAGCTCTAGCATATCGAGGAGGGCTAAAAACAAACTTTACAAACCTCATCGAGGTAGGTTCTATTAAGAAGGACCAATCTAAAGTTCTAGAATATCCATAAGTGATATTGTCAGAAAACAGTTTATCAGCTGGGTGTTAAGAAAAGATGTAAAACGTTTTATCTCTCACCCCACAAACTGTTTTTAGCCCATCCCTGAACCAGATGGTTGATGATGTGTGTAACCACTGCCCTCCTGCCTTGTGAGCTGTGCTCCTGAGGCGGGCAGAGCCTTAGCCCTGGTGAGTTCTAGAATATCCATAAGTGATATTGTCAGAAAACCGTTTATCAGCTGGGTGTTAAGAAAAAATATAAAACGTTTTATCTCTCACCCCACAAACTGTTTTAGCCCATCACTGAACCAGGTGGTTGATGATGTGTGTAACCACTGCCCTCCCGCCCTGTGAGCTGTGCTCCTGAGGCCAGCAGAGCCCTAGCCCTGGCCCTGGTGCCACTCCACTACTGCGTGAAGTCCTGGGTTGCCCTGGTGACACTCCACTACTGCGTGAAGTCTTGGGTTACCCTGGTGACACTCCATTACTGTGTGAAGTCCTGGGTTCCTCTGCCTCTTTGGTGCAGCTGTGGACTGTGTACAGGTGCCACATGGATTACCTGTGCATTTTAACTTCAGTTTAATTTCAATTTTCAGTTTTCTCTAGAGGCAAAACAGAGAGAATGTTTCCTCTCTCTCTCGATGTCCTTGGGTTGATTTTACGAGAAAAAGGAATATTACTTTGCAGCTTCTAAATACCTAGAAAGTGCAAAGACAGCCTGAAAGCAATGGAATCTGGCAGCCAAAGGAGCTGTTGGGCCCAGTAGCACAAGATAACTAGACATTGTCACAGAATTTGTCAACGTAAATGCTGACTCGTCTTCTCTTCCCCACATTCCCTCAGCTTTTAAAACATCCAGTTCCTAACTTGTTCTTGGTATTCTCTTACTTTGTATAATAAGGTATTATTCTTGGATAGGCCTCAAGAAAGGGTAGTAATTTCATGAGTGTGGAAAGTTGATTTTTTTTTCCACTTCATTTTGTAGTTTTCACTGAAAAAAATGTGTATTGAATACCTGAAATAAAAAAGTTCTGTGACGATATCATTTCCTTGATTATCTAACATATAGAAATATACCCACTTTTTCATTGCAGCTTATCTGCAATGGCTACAAGTTTAATCTATGAATGATGTTTGAATCGAGGCACTTACTAAAGAAATGTTTTCTAGAGATTTGATTCTGGTATAATGTGTCTTGCTTTAGTTTCACATGTTCGCCGCATGCTTATTTTATGATATGTGTGACAGCAGAAACTATGATGCTATCTTGGTCCATTTAAACTTACTCTCCTCAGGTGCAGCAGCCTGGGGGGAGTGGAAGCAATTTAGAATGATCTGGAAACCCACTCCACCTATCTTTTACTTTACCATTTCAGTTTCCGCTGTTTGCTAACCTGAAATTGGAAACATTACATGAAAGACAAAAAAGGAACTTCCATAAGAGTTACTAAGTACCAAGGTACAGACTTGACACATTATATACATTCTTAGTCATAGGAAATTAAATATAAACTGTATTTTCCTGTTCTACCTAACCATTCCACCTGCCTTCCTCTCCTCTCCCAACTTGACCCCAGATACTTCTGCTGACCTCTTTTTGTACCATCTTTTGAAACACAGGTGGCCTCTTTCCACTTTAAAACAAACAAACAAACAAACAACAACAACAACAAAACACAACCTTTTAAGGGCAGAAATGGATAAAAATTATAAAAAATGAAAGAATCATAGGCTAGCCAAGCAACATTACACTATTAAATAATCTGTTCTTATAGAGTAACATTTGAGCTTTATATTTTATTTAGTAAACATCTATTGAAAAGAAAAGTAAGAAGTCTCAGTTTCTAAGTTAGAATATGATTAATTTCATTCTAGTGACATAACAGAAGTTGGTGGCCCTATCTAGAAAGACTATGGGCCTGTGGCTGTATGACCTTAAGCAACTAAAGTTCTCTGAACCCTAATTCTCTTATTCGTTAAAGACAGTAATGATATTTACTTCACAATAGTATGTGGTGTTTAATCACTTTGTCCATCCCCATCAGAGTTCTGGGAGGAGAGAGAATAAAACCCAGCCTATACAATACTTTTCTCATTCAGTAATCTGGGATTGGGGCCCAGAAATTTATACGCTAAAAATGGAAACGAGTGATTTTGTTATGGAGCCCAGTTTAGGGTGGACTGTCCTAAGTGATATACTATTGGTTCAAGAAATAACAATCTTTAGAGCTAATTTGGAGAATAAAATGACGTGTAGTTCAGCTTGCTTTAATACTTTTGCACAATTGAAGATTTAGCTGTATATGTATTTACAAGCATTTTCTTGTTAAGCTGATTTTGAGAACAATAAAAGGACAATTGTCTTTAGACTTAGGCATACAAAACTTAGTAAAATGTGAAATGTATTTTTATGATCTTTCAATCCCTTGCTTTGGAAAAATATATCCTATGTCTTTGCATTTATAAGAACATATAATTCTCTAAAGGAGTAGATAGAAGAACCAACCAATTATTCCCTTTCCTAGATGTAGGTGTTATTTAGTACATGAATAGTATAGTAGATGCTTTTCAAAAGTTCTTAACTTATTCCCATGGTAACATCTAAGTAGTATGTATAAGAGACTGACTCAGTAGATTTTATCATTGGATAGAATTATTTATGTACACTTGAAGGGTAGTGCATATTTAGCAATTTTCTATCCACTTCTGAATGCATCTTGAACTTTTAAATTAAATATATGGTCCACATGAAAAACAAAGGCCAACCTGCTATCAAAGCTACAGAATTGGAGTTGCTCTTACGGTTCGAAATTGCTCTTGCTTTTATAACTTGTGGGTTTTACATGGAATGTTTTTTGTGTAGAAATACAAAAAGTGAAAGACCATATCGATTTTATTGCCAAAGGTCGGCAATTGATGGTCCACTGGCTAAATCCGGTGCAACGCCTGTTTTTGTAAACAAAGTTTTATTGGAACCCAGCCACACATTTGTTTTCGTGCTGTCTTTGGTTGTTTTTGTTCTACTATGACAGAGTCGAGTAGTTGCAACAGAGACTGTATTT